GCTTACGAAGCCGTTCTTACTATCGTCCTAGAGCTCGAGCTTTAGAGTAGCTATAGTAGCTTTATAAATAAGCCGTCGTCGATATAGTACTTTAGAATTAGCTATGCGAAGTAGTAGCGGGCGATAAACAGCTATCGGGCGTTTACTTCGGAGGTAGCGAGGTTCCGCTAAGTCCTAAGATATATCTAATATATATTCGAGAGTGCCTCAAAGTAGTTGCTTACGCGATTAAACGGGGCGGAGGGAAACTTATTAGCGGGGTATCTAGTACTTATTACTAACTCGTTTATATCGAACGTTAGGGGTCTCCCGATAACGGTCTAGTAGCCTAGATTATAGTCCTTAGAGATAGCTCTAATACGCGGGAACCGAAGCCAAGATAGCTAAAGTATATAGTTAGCGATTTAGTTATAGACGGTATCGAGCTTTGCCTTATTAATATTTAGGTCGAGGATTACCTCCTCTTAATCGTTCTTTGTCGGTTATTTTAGGAGCTCGTCTAGATCTATCCTATTTACGAATTCTATAATAATAAACGGCCCTAACTACCGCGGGCTCTCCCTAGCGAGACCCTAGGAGAGTACTCGAGGGAGAGGAATTATTAGAACGGTTAGAAGACCGTAATAGGGCTATCGAGCAATAATCACGATATTTATAATAGTAATTATAATAATAACCCTAAAAAACCGTATATTAACCCCCCTAAGGTCTAGAGGCGTAGGTCCTCTAGGCATATATAATAGAGGGTACTGTCGGCGCTATAAACCCCTAGGGGTCACCTATAATGCTGCTGCCTACCAGGGGTCACCTATAATACTGCTGCCTACTAGAGGCAGCCTATAACGCTGCTGCCTATCCCTTTAGTATTATGTCTACTTTAGGTAGCCTCGTTCTAATATACCCCTAACGATCCCGAGCGTTAGCGAGGGGTCGTTCTTAACGAGGTAATTATAATAAACGTTTAAACCGATCTGCCGCTAAATAGCCCGTTAATCCTTTTCTCGTTAATTCCTATAGTCCCTGTTAAAAACCCTATTAGCTAGGGGAAAGGGTGACTGCCGCTAGCCCTAACTAGCCGTTAATAGAAGGTGCATCTACTTTTAGGTAGTATAGCGGTTGTCCTTATTCCTCCCTTTTACCCCTATTTAAGTAGGGTCTCTGCTTGCTTTTAAATAAAATCATTAAGTTCGTTAGTTGTTATAGAGGGCGATACCCGGGCGGCAATTCGGTCACGGATATCTACGAGGCCTATCTAATCGATAAAGTCCCGAAAACGAGGTCCCTAGAGTGCCTTAGTAAGGCTATCGGCTATAATCTCGGCCGACTTAGTATAGGTTATATTAATAGTCCCTCGTTAGACCTCCTAACGTACCTAATAGTGCTATATATTAACGTAGCGTAGTTAGGTCCGAAGGTTCGTAATTTCGTCTATAACTAGCCGTATAGTCTGCTTATTATCGCACTAGATCGTAATCCTAGCGTTATCTAGTCCGACCTCTAAGTCCGTTATTAGTCTTTTAATGTAGACTAATTCCTTCGATGCCTATAATAACGCTAGTAGCTTAGCCTCTGTCGTTGAAGTCGTAACTATAGCTTGCTTATTGGCCCTCTAGCCGACTAGTCCTCTAAACTGCTTTATAGTATACGCCTAAGAGCTTCGTCGGTTAAGGGAATTATCGGCAAAAGAGGCATCACTAGCTATTTCGAAGGTATCCGCACCCCCTAGTTGCAGGGCCCGGTCCCTTATACGAAGTAGGTAATAGAGGACCCGGTCTACGGCCTATTAGTGCTGTGGGCTGGGATTGGTATTAAAACGGGCCAGCCGTAACGTTGCAAAAGCGATATCCGGTCTCGTTATAACTGCTGCGTATAGCAGGGACCTAACTTTGCCCTGATAAATCCTAATCTCGATGTACGTAGCCGTTCCGTCGTAGGGTAACAGTTCTATAGTCCCTATCGGGGTCTCGCAGCGTGGCCTAGTCTCGGCTAACCTAGCGATCTTATTAATGTACGACGCCTATGATAGCTAAAGTAGGCGCTGTTTTCGGTCCCTAATTATCTCGATGCTAAGGAACCATTAGAGGTCGTTGCCTCCTATTAACTAGTACCGTTGCTAAAGTTATTATACGATCCCGTCTGCCTCCTCTTTATCCCTTCGTCTATAGGCTATGACAATATCATCTACATAGAAGAAGATAATCACTCTGCCTCGTGTAAGATAGCAGGGCTCGTGAGGGACGTCTTAGAACCCCAACGCCCTTAGCGTTCCGGTTAGTTCTCGATGCCATAGCAGGGGGGACTTCCGCAACCCATATAACGCCTTATTGAGCCGTAGTACTATGCCCTGCCGTCGGTGGCCGGGTGGCATTTTCATATATACCACCTTATCGAGGGTAGCGTTCACGAAGGCGTTAACTGCGTTATACTATAGTAGTTCGAGGTCGAATCGGGCAGCGATGGTTATAAGGGTCCTAAAGGACCTACCGGCTAGGGTAGCGGCGTAGGTGTTTTGCCCTGGCTGTCGCATCTGCTGATCCCCTCGTACTATAAGGCGTGCCTTGCACTTTTAATACCTTCCGTGCTTATCGTACTTATAGACGTAGACCTAGCGGCAGTCTAGGATTCCTTTTACCTTCTTCCCGAGGCAGACTTCCGTCTAGGATTTCATCTGCTCGTGACTCTCAAGGTGGACCTTTTCTGCCTCTGCAAACTGGTCTCCTAGCGGGTGGTCTATTAGTTTATTATGTCTCGTAGGAACAGGGGGAAGTTGACTGCGATATATCGACTTAGCCGACTATAGTAAGCGTTGAAGCTGCTCCTTGCCTAACGTAGATTTCTTAGGGGTATCCCTCTTTAGCGGACTTAACGACTATAGCAGGCGTTAAAGCTTTGCTCGGTCTATCGGATTTTAACCTAGGGTTGTTAATACTGCGTTTCCTAACGGGCCTGCAGAAAAAGCAGCTTGCCAGATCCGATGTTCTTTTAGACCTGCAACCCTAACTTCTTCGTTAGGGTTACCGTTGGGCTTAACTGCTAGTACCCTAGGCTCCGGTTTTCTTATTAGGTTACTCCCTAGCATCTATATCGCGGCTGCTAGCAGGGCTGCTAGGGGGGTATCTAGAGGCGTTAGGTAGCTTGTACCGTCACCTCGACCAGATCCCCTGCCTGCTTATGCCTTGCTTGCCGGCATAGGTTTCTTACCACTACTAGTAGCAGCGCTACTACTAGTAGCAGTAGGGTAGCTATTGCCTCCCTCTTCCTCAATAGTCTTATTACTGCTATATAGGGCGTCCCCTTAGCTAGTAATATAGATCGTATCGAGGGTTTCTTCTTCTTTATCGTCGTTAACGTTATTATCTTCGTTAATAACGCTAGGCCCTTCCCCTTCGGCACCCCCCGGGCTAGGGAGGGATAACTGCTATAGGGTCTTAGCCAGTTTTTTAGCATCTACTTCTCGGGCTGCTAGTCTAATGCTCTCGTCGTCTCTAGAGAAGATTTCTGCTTCGTTAAAGATAACGTCCCTCGTAGAGATAACCTTATTAAGTACTAGTACCTAGATCCTATATACGTTGGTACTTTGGTACCCTACGAGGAAGCCTATCTAAGCCTTTAAGTTAAGGCGCCGGAGTCTCTTTTCTTTTAGTTATGCCGTAGCCGTCATAGCAAAAGCCTTATAGCCGTAGGCACGGAGGTATTATTGATTCGGTCTTTCCCCGTAGAACCGTTCGTAAGGGGTTTTCTAGTTATTGGGGTACCTAGGCGTACGGTTATAGAGGTACGTTGCGGAGGCAATGATCTCTTTCTACATTAAGGCCGGGAGTCTCCCCCTCATTGTCCGTGCCTTCTCTTTAATAACAGCCGCTATACGTTCGGCAACGCCGTTTAGTGCCTATGTGTTAGGTGGCGAAGGCTCCGTCTTAACGATACGGGTCCTTAGGAAGTCCCGTAGGGTCCCTGCCCGTACGACCTCTCCGTCACACTCGAGGACTTTAGGGACGCAATCGTGGTGCCGTTTAAGGTAGTCGAAGTAGTAACGTAGGTTCTTTCTTATTATCGGGGCCTTCTTATTAGGAAGGTAGTAGTCCCACGTATAGCTACTATATCGGTCCGTTACTAGCATCACTCGGCGACTTCCTTCGTTATCCTCTTTAAATTCATGGAAATCAACTGCAAGGCGTTCCCCTAGCTTAACGTCCTTCGATCGAGGGGTCCGACGTATCTGCCGGGTCATTTTGCCTGTCCCGCATTCGTCACACTCTGTTGTGGTAAGACCTTTGATTCGTATACCTTCTGAGCTATTAACTAGGTGTTCTACAGCACGGGGGCCCGCGTGACCTAGCCGCAGGTGCCATAAGGCTGCCGTGGCTAGCTGTGGCCGTCTCTTAGTGTAACTGTTGAACTTATTGCGTCTAGCGTAGAAAGCCTGCCTCGTGATATCGTAGGGGATATCCTCTAGTAGGTACTAGTTGCACCGGTCCGTGATAAAAGCAAGGATGCTATAGTCCCTTCTGCGGAGGCACCTTCGTTCGTTGGCTAGGTTATTGTCTAGCTAGAACCCTCGTTTTTCTAGGAGACGGTACGAGACCAGGTTGGCAACAAATCCCTCGCAATAGGCTACTTTGTGTAACCGTAGGGTCCGTTCTCTAGATGGTCCCGTGATGCAGATATCGACACTGCCGTACCCTTAGATAGGAACCTTCGTCGTACCGGCCTAAAGAAAGTCCCCTAGGCAGGCTATAGTAAAATTGAAGAAGCGGGAGATTTAATTGAAGATATATAGCGTAGTCCCTATGTCTAGGAGTGCCGAATTAAGTAGTGGGTAGGTGTAACGGTCTCAACTGAGTGTGTTGACAACTAGCTGAGCGACTGCGACGAGTATCCTAAAGCTAAGGAGAAAAGAAGAAGAAAAGAAAAGAAAGGAAAGCTCTCGAAGATGGCACGAGCTTATAAGCGGAGCTCCGGTGGGTCTTGTCGAGAGCGGAGCCGAGACCCTCACGGGCTCAGCCCGTTACAATAACCCCTCCTTCCTCCCCGTTTCGATCGTTTCGATTGGGGTGGTTTCGATCCAACTTTCCCATGAACTTCTTCATACCTAGCCAGTGCTATTGTGTCTGCGACGTACTTGACTGGCTCCCACGTCGGACCTATCCATCCGACCCATTTCACCAACACTTTCCACTCTCTCCCGACTTTCTTCCTGTCCAGAATCTCTTCCACTTCCCACAGCTCGCCATCGTCCGTCAAAATGGCCGGTGGGCGGTAGTCATCCGACGTCTGTGACGGTAGCGGATCGTCCGCTGCTAAGCGTAAGAGCGACACGTGGAACACGTTGTGTATTCCCGGAGGCGTGTCCAGCCTGCACGCGTGTGACCCAATGGTCTCCAGGACGGTGTACTTGGCCGACAGCCAATCGAGCTTCTTGGATGGCCGATTGGATCGGATGTTGCGAAGTCGCAGCCATACCTTGTCTCCAGGCTTGAACTGGTCTGACGGCTGTCTTCGCGAATTGGCGTTCTTCTCTTGCTGCTCTTGCGCTGACGCAATTGCCGCCTGGGCCCATTCCGTTGCCTCTCGAAATCGTTGCACAATGCTTTCAGCCCTGGTCACTGGGGACCTTCCGTCCGTCCGTAACTTCTCCTTGACTTGTATCGGGTCAACATGATACCCATGCGTGATAAAGAACGGGCTCAGGCCTGTCGACGTCGAGTTGTGATTGTTGATGGCCATCATGGCCGCTGGCAACAGCTCTTCCCAGTTATCCTGAGCATAAGCAGCAAAGATCCTCAGATATCTCTCGACTTCCTGATTCGCCCTTTCTGTTGCACCGTCAGTCTCGGGATGCCACGCCGTAGACAATCTTTGCTTCACGCGTAGCAGCTCGCAGAGCCTCTGCCATAGTCTACTGGTGAATTGCGTGCCACGGTCAGTGACGATCGCGCGCGGCACGCCATGGTGTTGCACCACGTTCCGTAGCAATGCTCTGGCCGTCGTCTCGGCCGTGATGTCCTTCAATGACTCAAGAACGACACTTTTGACAGTCTGTCCGTCACGACCATAAGGTTGGTCGAACCGTTCGACTTGGTTGGTGGCAGGTCTGTCACAAAGTCAATTGACAGCTCCGACCAGATCCTGTCTGGAATAGGTAGCGGCTTCAATAAACCGCGACGCTTCTCTCGCCAAATGTTGCTTCGGCCACACACATCACAATTTCTCACAAATTGACGCACGTCTGAATCGAGGCCTGGCCAATAAAACTTGCGGCTCAACAAGGACTTCAGCATGTCCCGTCCGGGTGTCCTGCAAGCGTTGAGTCATGCGTCTCCTGCATAAGCCGCGTGCGCAGGGGTTCGTGGTTCGGCACCCAAATTCGCTCTCGCCAGCAGAGCCGCTGTCCATCGTCAATCGAGCATTCCGAGAGCATCACGGGCAGTCCCCAATGCGACGGCAGACGCCTCTCGCCTTGCTGTACGGCCTTTCGGATGAGCCAATAACGATTGTGCTTCTTGACACCTTCGTCCCATAACTTCTGCAGTTCCGGGTCCGAGAAAGGGTTTTCGATTGAGTCGTCTTGGTCAGTTGTTGCGTCATCGGGTTGATCCGTGTCGCCCTTGGTGACATAACCGCTCTTGACTTTTGTCACCAGGCCACCCTTGTTACGTTGCAGCAGCTGAACACGTCGTCCTTGCAACCGATCATCTTCGGCGCTGTGCGGCATGTCCTGTTCTCGTCGAGACAGCGTGTCCGGTACGACGGCTTCTTTGCCCGGTCGATGCTTGATGGTGAAGCTGTACCGCGATAGCGTCTCAGCCCATCGCGCCTGACGTTCACTCAGTTGCTGCTTCTTGGTGAAGTAACGGAGGTTGAGATGATCCGTCAAAACGGTAAAGGACTTCACACTCCTCAATTCGGCGTCCCAATGCTCAAGGCAGCGAATGATCGCCAGCAGCTCTTTATCGTGGATTGGGTAGTTGCACTCCGCCGGTGCGTTTTTCTTTGAGAAGAAGGCCACAGGCCGCATGATGCCGTCATCGCCCTTTTGCGAGAGCGCCCCTCCTGTGACATAACCGGATGAATCCGTCTCCACAATCGTCTCTCTATCCGGATCCCATTGCGCAAGGACCGGCGCACTGGTCAGAAGAGCCTTCAACTCCTCGAAGGCCTTGTCGCACTCCTTCGACCACGCAAACACCGCATCCTTCTTTGTTAACGCCGTTAGAGGCGCGGCGATGTTGGAGAATCTGGGAATGAATTGCCGGTAATAGTTGGCAAACCCCAGAAAGCTTCTGACGCCTTTGACAGAACGGGGTCGCTGCCACTGCTGAATTGCCTGCACCTTCTCCGGGTCCACGCGGATACCTTTCCCGCTTCGACGATGAAGCCCAGGTACTTGACACTCTTTGCCTCAAAGTCACACTTGTCGATATCAATCTGCAGGCCTGCATCTCGCAGTCGAGCAAGGACCTGCCTGACTTTGTTGCGATGATCTGCGAGCGAACCGCTCGAGTAGATCAAGATGTCGTCAATGTAAGCGGAACAGAACTCGTCGAGGAAATCTCGCAACGTGTGGTTTATGTAACGCTGAAACGTTGCGGAGCACCGTCAACCCGAATGGCGTGACAAGCCATTCGTAGAGTCCGTAACGTGTTCTGAATGCTGTCTTCCACTCGTCTCCTCCTCGACGCGAATCTTGTGAAATGCTGCGATAACGTCAAGTTTGGTGAGCCACTTGGCCTTGGACAGCGACCGCAAAGTTTCCTCGATCAACGGCAAGGGATATCGGTCTTTCTTGGTGATCGCATTCAATCCTCGATAGTCCACGCAAAGCGCAGACCACCACCGGGCTTCCTCACGAACAAAACTGGTGCTGACGCTGGAGAACTACTTGCTCGAATGAAACCCTTGTCGAGTAGCTCAGTGAGAGTCTTTCGCAGAACAATGAGCTCTTCTCGTGACATGCCGTACAATGGTCCCCACGGCGGTTCTTTCTCCTTGTCATCAGGACCTCTCTAACTGAATCTTGTGATCACACCCCGGACGACGCGGTGGGAGTTGGTCCGCTTGGTCGCGGTCGAAGACGGATAGGTACTCGTGGTAGTGACGGGGCAGCTTCTCTCTCGGGTCTGACTTCTTCCTCGGAGTCAATGCCTTCTCAATGTCTTTCAGGCTTGCGGCGAAGATCCGCACTCCATCGTCTCGATGCTTGAACTTTCTTGCTCGGCGAACCATTCCGGCGAACACGAACGCCGCCTGTCCTCGTATGTTGCACCGTTCCTCCTCCTTCGGGTCTCGGCCTTTCACCCAATGGTCGTGCGTCCCGATATGCAAGAGGTTCTGCGATAATCGCAAGGTGACATCCTCCTGGTTCAACCACTTCTTGCCCAGAATCACAGGATCGGTCTGGTCTCGCACAACGTAGAAAAAAGCTCTTTTCTTCTGGTACCCGTCGATATCGAAGTCGAAGTAGGTCACGGCACAGATGGCCTCGGGTGAGAATGTGTTGACCTGCTCCAACGCTCGAGGTTTAATCGGAATACGCGGCAGGTGAAGCTTGCGGGCAAGGCGCTCACTGATGGTCCCATAACACAGGCAACCACAGTCAACGAAGGCCGTGGTGAAATACTCTCGATTGATACCGAAATTTACGTAGAGGCCTTCACAGTCCATCTCGTCCTTCTGAGTTGCCCATTCCGCCTCAGCCTTTGCGCGCTCCTGACGGCGATTTTCGTCAGGAGCTACTCGTTTTCCGAATGGTCATCGGAGGTATCCCGCTAGAACTCTCCGCGGGCTCTTGGTGCTTTGCTCGAGCTTCTTGTCTTCTCTTCGACACGGACCTTGACTCTCTGCTGCCGCCGCTCCTTCCCGGGACACTTGGCCGCAAGATGGCCAAGCTTCCCGCACTCGTAACATTTGCGCTCCTCCAACGGAACAAATTGCTTTTCCTCCGGGCCCTCCTGCCGTTTATCAACCGATTTGCTTTCACGGGTTCCCAATCCATCTGATCATCGGACGGGGACGACGTGGTTGGCGATCCGGGTGACGGGGCTTTGTCGGGACTCGAGCGGTTCGGATAAACGACCATACTCCTTTCTTGACCTCTGCTCGCGGCCTTGTTGTCGTTGGTGGAAATTGAGGCTATCTAGGCGCGAGCCAATCGTCAAGAGTAGCTCGGCGTAGCTGTTGAAATCCTTCGGGAGACTGACGGCACTGACGAGACTCGACTTGAGCCTATTATTAATTGCTCCTTCCAAGTAATTGATTTGCACCACGTCGGCCCACTCGCCACCGCCACTATCGGCAAGCTCTTTCTCGAACTTTGGGAAGAAACTGGCGAAACTCTCATCAGGCTTCTGCTTCAACGATCGAAGTCGATCCAGTGCTCGTGCCTTTGCGTTCGGGTCCCCGTACCGACGGTTCAAGTAGTCGAGAAACAGATCTGGGGCGAGCACCATCGATACCGCCCTGTTCGTAATAAGCAGCGGCCATGTTCTGGGCTGTTCCCGCCAACCGGGAGTACATAGGCGAAGAGTGCTTCTTTATTGTCGAATGCCTGTCGGTCCACAGCCAATTTCGCTTTCATCTCTAAGAACCAGGGACGGAAGTTTTCCTGGTTCCATCGAATTTCGGCGGATCAGGCAAGGTTGGTTTTACCCTCTTTGATGGGATTCTTTCGGATGTCTCGATCGATTGAGGCGTGTTGTCGGACATCGGTTCGATAGGAGCGACTGGTTCATTTGCCGGAGTCGGAGTTGAGACGGCTGTTTGGAGGATTCGGATCTGCGATCGCATCTCTTCGCGTTCGGCCTCTTGGCTTGCACACACACTTTCTAGTTTGTCCATCACTGCAGCCAGGGCTTGCATCATCGATTGAGGCTCAAAAGAACCTTGCTGGGAATCGATTGCCTCCATGACTGAAGATTTTCTCCTCGTCTCTCAGGACTGAGGGCGACTTGATCACACAGCAAGTCTGATACGGAAGGGATATCTCGACAACGGTCGAACGCTATCAACGCCTCGAAGGCTCCTTCCTACACGGCTGGACGTTCTGCACAGGGCTTCTAGTCCAGCTGCTGCCGTCCACACTGGGAGCCAAGCAGCAATCACGTACTTCTCGCTCAACCGCACGCCGTACGGAGAGCAGATTGACGCTCCACGTCCTTTGCTCGGGAGATGAGAGCTACGCGACGCGAGCCAAGCTGGCTTTGGCGCCGTACACACACGCACTTTCGTCGCGGGCGTTCCACACAGGATTGCCCAAGCTACTGCCACTCCGCGTACCCACAAAGGGAACTGAACAGCGCTGCCAATTGATTGTGATCAAAGGCTTTAACGATGAAAGCGGAGCTTTAGGATAATGTAACGGTCTCAACTGAGTGTGTTGACAACTAGCTGAGCGACTGCGACGAGTATCCTAAAGCTAAGGAGAAAAGAAGAAGAAAAGAAAAGAAAGGAAAGCTCTCGAAGATGGCACGAGCTTATAAGCGGAGCTCCGGTGGGTCTTGTCGAGAGCGGAGCCGAGACCCTCACGGGCTCAGCCCGTTACAGTAGGCTGTAGTGTTAAAAGCAGCCTTGAGGGTAGGGTCGTGACTAACTGTGGCCCCGGCCGGCGTAAAAAGCGGCCTCGTCACATCTGCCCACTTCCCGTACTAGTCAATCTTCGTTATCGTCACTCTGGTCCCTTGGAGCAGCTGGAGTGACATCCCTGTCGAACTTGACTCTTTTTACGCTGCGGCTAGTGCTCCTTGCACCGCGACTAGTGCTCCTTATACCAGCCTTTCTAGCCTTTTCCACAGCTTGCTTGATAATAGGGTCTTTAAGGCTGTTATTAATGACCCTCTATACCTTCTAGGGCTCGTACCAGTCAGGGGCTTCGTTAGGAAAAACCCCGTAGCAGTTGCTAAGGTCGTGGCCCGGCCTCTCGCAGAGGGGGCAGACGCTGATAGCGGTTGTCTTGTTGAGACCTCCGCCGGACTAACCCTTCGTTCGGGCCGTCACCGGGGCGGTCTTCTTGCCTTTGCCCTTCTTCGAGGACGACTTTTATGGTATTTCTTTATCTTCGTCGTCGTCTCCCTGTCCGTAGAGGGTCGGTCCGAACGCTCCTTTGTTGATTTAGTTAGAAACCTTCCTTTTAAGCCGATTAGTCACTCTCAAGTTATCCCTAAAGTGACGGGCCATGAGGGCAGGCGTGTATCCTTCCTCCTTCTAGGTTGGGGAGTAGACGAAGTTGCTAGCCCAATGCTGGGCTTGTTCCTCCACGGCTATGATAAAGTCCTGGACCCAATACTGCTGATCCTTTAGTTCGTTGAGACCTTCGGCGAGAGCCTCGTCCATCGTCTCCTCCCACTTTGTCAGCTAGGTCTCCCACCCTTCCCTTGGGGGCCTGGAGAGAACCTTGATTGCTGACTTGTACTTGGCTCGGATGTCCTCTTAGACCTAGTAGTTTATACCTTTGACCTTCGTCTATAGGTTCGAGTACCAGGTTCTAAGATCGTCAGCCTCGTTGCAGCACGTCGTGTAGTAGTGCTTCTTAACGGTCTTCTCTATCTAGTTAATCAGGGCTAGGATCCCCTTTTATTCTTCCTTATAGAACTCATGGTCCTAGGTGTACGAGACTATTTCTAGATTGTAGAGGGTTAGGGCCTCCTTCGAGATAGCCTCGGGCTGGACTCTTTCGTCGGTGGTGTCCTCTGACTAGGTTCCTCCAACCGTAATCGAGGCTGAGGCACTCCGAGTGACACTCTGGTTGTCTCCTTGGGTCCCTCTATAGGGCGCACCCTTAGGCTTAGGTTTGGTCGGGTAGGTAGGCTCCTCGATGTAGCTTGGGGGGTTCTTATCGTCTGGATTGATGTACTTCTAGACCTAAAGAGCTTTGGCTTGGGACCTGAATGCGTTATTCTAGGCTCGCCAGTTAGTTGGTTGATTGAGCTTGATTGAGCTGTTGGAGGCCGTAGAAGTCATCGTTGGTCTTATCGCTGCAGCGGTGTTCCTTGGTATCGTAAGGTCGGTAGAGATTAAGACTCTTAATTGTCAGAACGGTTAGAAGACCGTAATAGGGCTGTCGAGCGATAATCACGATATTTACAATAGTAATCACAATAATGACCCTAAAAAACCGTGTATAGACCCCCCTAAGGTCTAGAGGCGTAGGTCCTCTAGGCACATATAATAGAGGGTACTGTCGGCGCTATGAACCCCTAGGGGTCACCTGTAATGCTGCTGCCTACCAGGGGTCACCTGTAATGCTGCTGCCTGCCAGAGGCAGCCTATAACGCTGCTGCCTGTCCCTTTAGTGTTGTGTCCACTTTAGGTGGCCTCGTTCTAACAGATTGCGGACCGTGACGAGCTGCATCAGTGCCTTAAGTGCTGCCTTGCAATTAACCGTAGCTCGAAGTGTTTCCTCTTACCTCGCTAATTGCTTCGCGGTATTTGCCTTACCAGCCTTAGCGAAGGTATCCTAGATAAGGCTGTCGCGCCGTTTCTTAATCGGATGGTTATGGGCAACTAGCTTAATTCCGTGGATCTTAAGCAAATAGCGGCGAAACGTGGTTAAGATGGTCGTGGAATGGGTGGGATCTCGGTAGTGTATGCAGTAATAAATCTTCTCGTTCTTCTAGGGGCAGCGTGCTGGCTCTGACTCCTAGGGCTCACGGGCGTGTGCCTAAGTGTTCGCGGTTGGCTTGCGCTTTTGGGTCCCGTAGCCGCTGTTGTCGGAGGGATTTAGTGGAATAGATTTTAGGGATAAGCGAAGCTCGACGGTGGACGACGGCGACGCCGTATAGCTAGTAGAGCCACCGGAAATGCGGGAGGACTGTTGAAATATTTCCGGGCCGACCCTATTACGATATACGTGCTAGGTGCTAACTTCGACGTGGAAACCTAATAGAATCCTCGCCGGTAACTTGCCTTAATCTTATAGACTATACGACCCCTAAGATGGCCCCGGCGGGGTTAATAATTTTCCGCCCGTATTCTATACGTATAGAATACGGATGGTCTATATAGAATATAGATAGTCCGTATAGAATATAGAATATAGAGTATAGAAATTTCTATACTCTATTACTTATTTTATACGAGTATAGATAGAAAGACTAGAGGAGCTCTTTAGAGATTAATAATTATATTACTAGCCCCCGTTCTTTACTCTCTATTTCGTTGTAATTATACTCCTTATAGTTTAATCTCTCTCCCCTTTAGGGCATAGAGACCATTAAACGGGACCGGCTAAAAACTATAGACTTATCGTAACTTCCTCCCGACCTAGCTAAGGCGGTTAGTAAGCACTTAGATTAAACCTAAGTAAGCGGCTCGCTATCTACGTAGACGGCACCCCCGCCCTCTATATAGGTTATCCCCGTTAAGGAATCTAGTAATATAGAATCCTTCTTAGAAAGCGAAGAAGCTAGAGTAGAACCTCCCTTAAGGAGTAAGAGGCGGAAGAGTATAACGCAAAAACGCCTAGACTAACTCGCCGTAGCTAGGGCAGCGAAGAAAAGAAAAGAGTTATAAGAATTATAGTAAGCTAAACGTTAGGATAAGCTAACCTACGAGGTAATATAAAATGAATTTTAGGGAACGCAGTAAGAGCTTATCGAAATTAGGAAACAGCTACGCTAGTAAACCGACTAAACGCAACGATAAGAAAAGCAGATATAGCAGCTTCTTAATATTATCTTAGCTATATTAGGAAACCCTAACTTAAGGCGAAGACGATCTAGGTTACCTAGATCTAGCCCTCGCCTATAAGAGAGCTTTCGCGAACGCTCTCCTATTTACGAGCTAAAAAATAAAAATTAAGTATAAATCTAATAGTTCCGCGGTAACTCTATAGTAGAACTCTCTACCTTCTTAAGGACCCTTTAATAGGTATTCCGAGAGCACCCCCGCTACTACTAGGACGAATAAAGAAGAATTAGACTAGCGGCTAGCTATATTAGCTAGATACTAAGGAGAGACTTTCTAGATAGCCTCTACCTAAAATTCGATAGGAGCGAAGAGAATATAACTTAGGGGGATATAGAAGACTAGCTTTAGAGTAATATTAATAACCCCCGAGGTCGTATACGAAATGCTTATATAAGCCTAACGAAGCTTAAGCAAAAACCTAATTAGTTATTCCGAGATTTCTTCCGATATTATCGAGCTGTCGAGAGCGAGTTCCCCTATACTATCCCGGACTAGCTATATATTAAGATATTCTTATTCTACTATAATAAGAATATTAAGGACGTCTTTCGATCTTAAAACTACCCTAAGTTATAGAACGACTTAGTAGAGAAGGGCTATAAGTATAATAACGATTTCTATAAGAAATATTACTACCTTAACCAGACCGCTATAGAATTAGGAGCAACGGACGCAACGAATAAGGATAATAGATTAGTAGGGAAAGAGAAATAGTAAGCGACTACCTATTATAAATATAGGAAGCCTAGTTATATACGGCTAAACT